GCCCCCCGAAGCCGCTCGCGGCAGATGGCACTCTTGTACCGTGTCTACGAGAAGATCTGAACGAGCGCTTCCCGCCCCAAAGCCGGCTGCCTCGGTGCCTCGGTGCCTCTCCCGAGGCGGCGCTACTCGGGACCAGCGCGCACCTGCTGGCGGCGAGTTCCTCCTCGGAGACCGAATTAAGGAAAACTGCCTTCTTTAAACTCTTCTGTTTTGTCAAGTGCTGCTGTATCCCAGGTAAAGTGTTTTATATTTTCTTGCTTACGTTTCCACCGACTCCTGCTACTGTGCCTGTGGCCGCCTTCTCCCTTCCTTTCTTTTTCCACTATGCTTTGCTTTCCCGGCAGTGGTTTCTGCCCTGAGAGTTGGGAATGGATAGCAGGTGAGAAGTATCCTTTTAAAAGGAGTTCTAGAGGTGCCTTTTCTGACTGCTGGAGTGGTTTTTGAATCAACTTACATGTGATAAAATTGTCTTATGCTGTCTGGATAAGTAGTATCTTCTCCCGCCAGTTCATCAAGTGCACAGAAAATGTTTTTTGCCCAAGATTCATCACGTTAGGATTTTTCCTGTTGTATTACGAACAGAGTATTTTTCCATGTCTAGAACTATTACTGTATTTCCTTATTTTTATTATGACTGTTCACCTCGTTTTTGCAGCTACGTGATACCCTTTTTAACCTCAACATTTGTTCTCACCACGTATGTGTAAGTACGATGGTACGATGAGGAAGAGTAACATCAAGTTACAGTATGGGCAGTTCAGATTAGATACTATGGAAAAAAACTTGAGCTAAGAAGGTGATGCAGTGCGTGGAACAGGTTACCCAACGAGTTATGGGTCTCCATCCTCAGATGCTTTCAAGCTTCATCAGGAAAAGCTAGGGCTGACCTGATCTAGTGTTGGCGATAGCTTTGAGAAATCAGTTGGACACGATGTCGTTCAGCAGCTCCTTCCATCCATCAGCTCTGTGATCCTGCAAAATATTTCAATCTCTGTTGGCTGAAGAGTATAAGCAACAGATGAAACGTTTTCTAATTTGCAGTACGTATGTGGTTCAAAATACAGTATCACTGAAGAGAGATCAGTGGTAGGACCACCAGACATAGATATGTGATCTGTAGTGTGTAATGTGTTTTAAAATTAGTAAAAAAAAACCTTTTTTTTCTCTCTGTAAGTAGTTTGGTATTACTCCCCAATGGAATGTGATGTAAGTAAGCAAATGCGTGGTTACTGTTGGGAGTAAAGCTTCATATTGATGTAATCATTGCACAGGATCAAGCCGTAAAGGCAAAATAAAGTGTATATCTTTGTTTTAACTAGCTTTGTAGTTTTAAAGGATGAATTGCCTAAGTTTACTGGGAACAAATCAAAACTGCAGAGCTTTTCTTAACATATGGCTATATTAGCCGCGCTTTTGTCTGGATTTAAGAATTACTTGTCACTCTTTGCTGCACCTGAGCTTCCAAGCGTATGTTGCTGCCCAGTTTGGTCTTAATGGGTGAACAGGTATCCCTTAAACATGAGAAGGAAAGCAATACCAATCTCTTCGTTTTTAGTTAACCCTAGCTAGTTTTCTGGGTATGCTCTGAAATGCATCTAAAGATGGTGCTAGTGGTGTTTGTGCACAGCTTTATTAATGGCACCATTATAAAAATGCGGACGTTGTAAAACTAGGAGGGAGAGCCATATTACAGAGAAGACTGCATAGTCTTGGTAGGATTATTTTAAATTTGTACGTTCTTCCTAGTTTTAGTCAGGAAGTATGTTGCTTCTTGAGTAGAAGAGTTTGGTTTACGTACAAGCATTTTTGTGGTTTTAAATAGAACTGGAAGTTGCTACTTTGCAATTTGGATATTTCCCTCCTTCGCATTCTGTTCTGGTATTTGATTTGAAAGCTATGATTTTACTGGGTGTAAGCAGCTACTGTTTTGTTTCTGTGATTGACCTTCCAGATGGTTGTGTTTGGGCTGACATATTAGTTAAAGAATTT